TGATCTGCCCACCTTAGCCTCCCAAAGTGCTGGGATTACAGGCGTGAGCCACTGTGCCTGGTGAGACTAGCTTTTTTATTTAAGAATTTTTTCTAAGACCATTGGGAGACTTTTGTGATGTAAGGCAGGCTAGAGCAGCAGTGACTTGCCATGGGCTAGGAGGAGACATTTAGGAAGTCTCAAGGTCCTCCTCAAACTCTTGCTTTGCCCTTAGAGAGCAGCAGCCATTCTGGACTAAGTACATAAGAAAGGTTACCTTGTTTGTACCTCATAATACTACCTCTCCTCATTCTCCAGATGGGAACATGGAGAAAAAAAGAAGTTAAGTGCTAGCAGGTATTAGAGGTGGGGTTAAAACAAGCTCTAGGTTGCTTGTTCTAGATATTCAGAGTTTCCACGCAGGATGTCCTGAGGCTTGATCTCTTGGACTCATTATTTCTGGATAATTAGGGCATGGGAGTACTGGGTTTGATGGATGGGGTTGGTGCTGGAGCCTTGATTTCTAAATCCTCTCCCACCTGTGAGGTGTAGGCTGTGGCACGAGGAAATGGGATTGCATGACTGACAACAGATACCATGTACCCAGGGGCTTGGATACCTATGTGGAGTCACTAGCCCTGGACCCTCCTCTGCCCACCCCAGCTGCTCCCCTGTTTGGGCAGAGGCCCAGTGCTTGCCTGGTGCTCCTTGACCAAGTCAACAGGCCTGCCCTCCCTGGCTGTTTCTAACAACATTCACCTGCTGACAGCCACCCAGAGAGTATAAGGAGGCCGGCTGGCCACTGCAGGTCTCGCACAGATCCATCCTTGCTCACTATCCTGCAGTAGACAGACAAACAAGACGCCAGCCAGCCCCCGTCCAGGCAGCATGGTGGGCAGAAGGGGCCTGGTGGAGGGGAGGGGGTTGAGCATGCAAGTGAGGGTCCCAGTGGGACCAAGCTATCTGGCATGAAGCTATCTTGAGAGTCCAGATGTTGATGGGGCTACAGTATGTGGTGAGGTGGGGAGAGGAAAAGAGACTTCCAGATGTGGCTGTGGCCCCCAAATGTGCAGATATGGGGGGCATCACAGGGGGTAGGGAAGGAAAGGCCAATGGTAACCAGGATGTGGGGCTGAAGCAGGAGCAGGGCTGCTGAGGGGGTCTGAACTTAGGGGCGGGGAGTGTCAGGGAAGCAGGACTTGAGTAGAAAGTGTAGGTGCTTTCTTCTGCTGGCTGAGAATCTCCAGACCCTTGATCTTGCCACAGGTTCACTGTTGGGCTCTGGTCCCACCTTCCCACCACGGGGAGACATCCTCCATAGAAGCTTCTCCCCTCTGGTTCCTCCCTCCGCCCTGCCCATCTGCTGTGCCTTTGTCTGACCTCTCATGTTAGTTACAGATCAGTGGGGAGAGGAAGGAGGAGGGAAAGGGGGGTGCTTCCATCTGTCAAGAGCTGGCTATGCCTGGGCTCATATGATATCTTTACCCACCTTCCTACCAGGCAGGATAGAAGAACAGTTCAGAGCATGGTTAGTGCCAGGCTGTCCCTGCTGTAAACATTCTTGGTTTTGCTCATGACCTTGAACAAGCTGTTTGACTCCTCTGAGGGTCAGTTTCCTCATCTATAAATTGGGGGCAATAAAACTACCTACCTAAGGTATATGTGGTAAAGATTAAATGAGATAATGTGTGTAAAGTGCCACCTTCACCTGGCACCTAATTAGTGCTTAACAAGTAGAACTAAGCAACGTAACGACACAGCCTGCTGGGTATGAGATTCTTCTCTTTCTAGTCATGAAAGAGGTGCTAGGGAAGCTGAGGTAAAATGACTTGTACTGGGTCACAGAGAGACAGGGCTTTGAGGCCAGGTCTGTATGACTCCAGAGACTGAGTTCTTTGCCCCAAACCTGCTGCCCCACAGTGTGAGGCCTCATTCCTGGAGAGGCTAGAGACACCTTCCATGGGGTAGTAGTTCTGGGGACCAGGACGTTGTCTGGATCTGTGGACGGCACTGGCTGGGCAGGCTCAGAGGTATAGCACCAGGCAGGTGATTGGTGAGCCCAGGCAGGTTCGAGACTGGACCCACCTGGGATTTCTCCAGTCCTTGAGGTCTCAGCTCAACTCATTACTTTCTTTCTTTTTTTTTTTTAGACGGAGTCTCACTCTGTTGCCCAGGCTGGAGTGCAGTGGTGCAATCTCGGCTCACTGCCACCTCTGCCTTCTGGTTTCAAGCAATTCTCCTGTCTCAGCCTCCTGAGTAGCTGGAATTACAAGTATGCATCATTTTTGTACTTTTAGTGGAGAGGAGGTTTCACCATGTTGGCCAGGCGGGTCTCGAACTCCTGACCTCAAGTGATCCACACACCTTGGCCTCCCAAAGTGCTGGGATTACAGGCATGAGCCACTGCACCTGGCCTCAACTCATCAGGGATTGGGGGTGGAAAATTGGAAGCGGAACCTTAGTGTGTGTTAGGCAGGGGGCCAGGCACTGCATGCATTCTTTCATTTAATCCTCATAGTTTTTCTAGGAGGGGGCTCTTATTATTTTCCACATTTCAAAAGGAGAACATTGACAAACAGGTTAAAGACTTTTACTCAAGACAAGTAGAGAAATAATGGGGCTGGAATAAAGATTATTTATGGATGAATCCCAGTCATCTAAAAATCATGAAAAGTCAGGCCCTTGTGTTATTAAAAAATAGTCAGTGAAGTGTTACATTTATGGAGAAGGCATCCTAATTAAACAATTAAGAAATATTCCAGGAATGCAAAAAGGTATAAAAAATAATGTGATAGGCTGGGCACAGTGGCTCATGCCTGTAATCCCAGCACTTTTGGGAGGCCAAGGCAGGTAGACTGCTTGACCCCAGGAATTTAAGACCTGCCTGGGAAAGATGGCAAGACCTGTCTCTACAAAAAAATTAAAAACTTAGCCAGGCATGGTGGTACATGCTTGTAGTCCCAGCTACTTGGGAGGCTGAGATGGGAGGGTCCCTTGAGCCCAGGAGTCCGAGGCTGCTACAGTGAGCTGTGATCATGTTGCTGTACTCCAGCCTGGGTAACAAAGCGAGATTCTGTCTCAAGAAAAAAAAAGAAAAGAATAATGTGATGCACAGCAGCTATCAAGCTTACGAGATAGAATCCGTCCCCAATTGCATCTACCTGCCTCCCCAGCCGGAGAGCACCATTATTCCAGATTTGAAGTTAATGGTCTCCTATGCTTTATCTTTGGACTATTTTCCCTTGCTTCCCTCACCAATGGACACAGGTGGGTTGATTATCTTGCTCTTCTAGATTCATTCGATCCCTTCAATGTTCCTTATCGAGACAGGCACTGAGCAAGATTCTATAATCTCAGAACTTCCCACATCTTCTGCTTCCCCTAAGGATTTTGGCCTGGAACCTAGAGCCAATGCCTGTTGTTCCTCCATGCCACCAGTAAATGCTTAGACACAGGAGGTGAGGCAAGCAGAGCAGAGTCCAGCAACCTTGACCCTCATCCAGAGAGTCACTCAAGGAAGGCAGGCAGGAGCCATGTCCAGGCATGATATGTTTCCCTCTGCCAAGGCCATTCTCTGCCCTTTGCCCACTCAGTGTGAGTGCATCTCAGTCCACGTGGGGCAGGCTGGTGTGCAGATTGGCAACGCCTGCTGGGAGCTCTACTGCCTGGAACATGGGATTCAGCCTGATGGGCAGATGCCCAGTGACAAGTTCATCAGGGGAGGGGATGATGCCTTCTATATCTTTTTTAGTGAAACTGGGGCTGGGAAACAGGAGCCCCAGGCGGTGTTTGTGGATCTGGACCCCACCATGATCATTGAGGGATGATCAGTCCCAGTCATGACCTTGTCCCTGGGTACCACAGCAAGTCTTACTCCATCACTGCAGAGCACTGGAGTTTGTGGTATAGCTTCCCAGTTGCTGCAGCCAATTAGAACTCCAGATATACAGAACCATCATGTTACTCAGCTCCTGAGTCTGTAGGCCACGCCAGATCCCTTTCTGTGGGAAGCAGAAAAGTTCCTTTTTAAAGTTTCCTTTCTCGTTAAATCATAAGTGTGCTAATAACTTTGTTAAGCCCTATCCTATGTTGCTATTAGATATGTCATGCTTACAGGCATGTAGTACATTCTGTGTCCTTGTACTTTAATCAGGATATCTGTGCTGGACATGCTCACAGGCAGGTCCCAGCTCTCCATTGCTTTTACCTGTTTAGAAAAGTTTTGCCAATCAGGTTTTAGTTTAGATTGTGAGGTCTGGCTCCAGCCAATGGAGATCAGACACAGCTGTAAGGATGACCCCAAATACGTAAAAGATAAATTTGTGTGTTTTTCTTTGTTCTTTGTACTCTCATGGCAAGATAGCTAGTGAGAGTACCCTTCCTGCAGTCTAGGAAGTAAAAATTGTGTTGCTGAAAGATCCTTTGTCTCAGTGCTAATTTTTCTTTGCAGCACCGAGCATCTATTTCCAACATCTATTTCTAATACTTTCCTTATTGAAAAACACATCCGAGCAGCACACACACATCCAAGCAGGTAATAGCAGCAGGCTGAATGCAGAACCTGGGACCTGGTAACCCCACTCCCTTGGGGTACCCTGGGGCTCCAGCAGCTGGATCCCAAAGGGAGGTGGGGCCCAAAACTCTGCCCATTGCAGATGAAGTTCAAACAGGCACATACTGCCGGCTCTTCCATCCAGAGCAGCTCATCACAGGCAAGGAAGATGTTGCCAATAACAATACCCAGGGTCGCTACACCATTGGGAAGGAGCTCATCGACCTGGTACTGGACCTGATTTGGAAGCCAGTGAGGAAAGGGCTGAAGGCTGGGGTAGGGGGGATGACTCTGGATTCCTGTTGTGAGGTGGTCTGGAGACCAGATTGGGGAAGGATAGCTTCAGCCTCTGGGAGAAACACAAAGGATCAGAACCATTGAGGAGAGGCCCTGCACTCTGATCAGGGGGACAACTGTAGGTTCCAGCCTGGAGCTGATGTCTCCTGTATCTCTGAAGTGGCTGGCCTGGTGCTAGGCAGGGTGTCCATTAAGGCTAACATGTTGATGGGCTGCCTGGCCAAGTTGTGGGGGTCCATTAGCATTCCCAGAATATCACCTTGTGTTACAAGAATGTGGGCAGAAGTCCCTGTGCAAACCAGGGATTCAAAGAATGTCAGCGAAGGCTCTGTGATTGGTTTTGGCTCCTACGAAGGATGGGGATGAGGTTCCTGGATTGTTGATCTTAGTAGAGAAGCCCTCCAGAAATATCCAAAGTGATGTCAGGGGAGCATGCGTATGATGGTGGTGGGGGGTGGGGTTGGCAAGTTATGATGATGAAAAGATGAGAAAGCCCTGGAGTCCTGTGCACTGGTCAGCCTAGACAGCCAACTCCACCCACCATCACACCTCTCTTTCTCAGCATACGAGAGAGCTGTGTGTTAATGACCTCGGGAGATTTCAGAGGAAGAGGGACAGGGAAAAGAAAAGCATCCTCACAGGGAGGATCCTCCCTATGAGGATCTCTTTTATGCTCTTGGAAAAGTCTTCCAAGGATTCATGAAACTTTTGGATATCTAAAACAGCACAAGTTGCTTCTTTCCTGTCCATCAGCTGTGCTCCATGCCCCATATTTCTCCTCCCCTTCAGGGCTTCCTGGTGTTCCACAGCTTTGGCGGGGGCACTGGCTCTGGCTTCACCTCACTCCTGATGGAGCGGCTCTCTGTTGACTATGGCAAGAAATCCAAGCTGGAATTCTCCATCTACCCAGCACCCCAGGTGTCTACAGCCGTGGTCGAGCCCTATAACTCTATCCTGACCACCCACACCACCCTGGAACACTCAGACTGTGCCTTCATGGTGGACAACGAAGCTATCTACGACATCTGCCGCCGCAATCTAGATATCGAGCGCCCAACCTATACCAACCTCAATCGCCTCATCAGCCAAATCGTCTCCTCCATCACAGCTTCCCTGCGCTTTGACGGGGCCCTCAATGTGGACCTGACAGAGTTCCAGACCAACCTGGTGCCCTACCCTCGCATCCACTTCCCCCTGGCCACCTATGCACCAGTCATCTCTGCAGAAAAGGCGTACCACGAGCAGCTGTCCGTGGCCGAGATCACCAATGCCTGCTTTGAGCCTGCCAACCAGATGGTCAAGTGTGATCCCCGGCACGGCAAGTACATGGCCTGCTGCCTGCTGTACCGTGGAGATGTGGTGCCCAAGGATGTCAATGCTGCCATTGCCGCCATCAAGACCAAACGCAGCATTCAGTTTGTGGACTGCTGCCCCACAGGCTTCAAGGTTGGCATCAACTACCAGCCTCCCACTGTGGTGCCTGGGGGTGACCTGGCCAAGGTGCAGCGTGCTGTGTGCATGCTGAGCAACACGACCGCCATCGCCGAGGCCTGGGCCCGCTTGGACCACAAGTTCGACCTGATGTATGCCAAGAGGGCGTATGTGCACTGGTATGTGGGTGAGGGCATGGAGGAGGGCGAGTTCTCTGAAGCCCGTGAGGATATGGCTGCCCTGGAGAAGGATTACGAGGAGGTGGGCATGGATAGCATGAAGTTGGGGGAAGAAGGGAAAAGGGAGCTGTATCCTAGGGTAATACTGCATGTCTGTCCTACATAAAATGCTGTGGCCTTATTGTCTCACGAATGTCTTTTTCTCTTGGGAAAAGCCATGGGGGAAGGGCCTCTTCTCCATGAGAGATAGGAATGCTGGTGTCTTAGCCTCGATTCCCCAGAAAGCAGATCTGATTTTAGATTTCATTACAGAGTGCAATTACAGCGAAAAGAATGGGGGCCAAGGGAGTAAAGCACATAAGGAGGAGCAATTCACCCTAGAGAAAATGCAGCTGAATAAATGGCATCTCAGAAACATCCTTGGGTGAGTGGGCAGGCGAGGGGGTGGGGGTGGGGTTTATGTACAGGCTCTATTATTCCATTGGTTAAACCTGCACCCCATCAAGCATCAACTCCCCTGCATGTCTGGATTGCACACACTTGGGCTGTAGAGTCATCAGGAAGCCCTGGGAGAGGAGGAGGTGCTGTTAAGTTGCACGTATGTGAAGTCGGTGGGAACCCACATGGAGCCGCAACAAGAGCCTGGTGAGTGCAGGAGGACCCGAAGCGATCCTTAGAGTAATCTAGTGCCCGCTAGCCCATCCTACCATCTAGAGGCTTGTCTTCTCCAGGCAGGAGGTTGGAGTAATAGAGAGTCCTTACGCTGGTGTTGGTTGAGGCAGAAGAGTGGCACAGTGGTGGCCACAGAGGGGTAATGGCTTGTGAGGGTAGGAGGCTTACCTCCCAGTAATCTCTGTCAACACTCACCACTTTTTTTTTTTTTTTTTTTTTTTTTTTTGGAGACGGAGTTTCGCTCTTGTTACCCAGGCTGGAGTGCAGTGGCGCGATCTCGGCTCACCGCAACCTCCGCCTCCTGGGTTCAGGCAATTCTCCTGCCTCAGCTTCCCGAGTAGCTGGGATTACAGGCATGCGCCACCATGCCCAGCTAATTTTTTGTAGTTTTAGTAGAGACGGGGTTTCACCTGGTTGACCAGGATGGTCTCGATCTCTTGACCTCGTGATCCACCCGCCTCGGCCTCCCAAAGTGCTGGGATTACAAGCGTGAGCCACCGCGCCCGGCCACCACTTTTGTTTAGATGGAGTTTTGCTTATGTTGTCCAGGCTGGAGTGCACTGGCATGGTCTTGGCTCACTGCAACCCACGCCTCCTAGATTCAAGCGATTTGCCTGCCTCAGCCTCCCAAGCAGCTGAGATTACAGGCATGTGCTACCACACCCAGCTAATATTATGTTTTTAGTAGAGACAGGGTTTCACCATGTTGGTCAGGCTGGTCTCCAACTCCTGACCTCAAGTGACCCACCAGCCTTGGCCTCCCAAAGTGCTGAGGTTACAGACATGAGCCACCATGCTTGGCCCTGAAACTCACCACTTTTTAATAAAGACGGTTGACTTTTTATAATCCTGTGGCATTATGTGTGTACAGCTTCATGTCCCCACTCCCAAACAGATGGCAAACTTTTAATCCTTTCCCATGGGTTTCTGGAGCCCCTGCTGGGCTGAAGGATGGCTTAGCCACTGGAGATGTTGTAACCAGGACAATCCCCACCCCACTCCAGGAGAGACTCATTTTAGAGTGTCACCATTGGCTCTGTTCTTCCTGCAGTCTCCTTTCTCCAAACTTCGTGTCACTTCCCAAGATTGGATGCTGGGACAGTAACCCAAAAGTTAGCAACACCAGGACACTACTGTTATCCCTAGGGCTGGAGGATGTGATGTGATCACAGGGCCTTGGGCCTGGGACCACCGGGTGAGAGCTGGAACCATAGCAAGGATACCCAGAAGGAGCAGGAAGGACCAAAGATGGAAGGATATTTGGCAGCATTCAGAGCCAAGGGGAGACACAACCACACCTGATTTAGAGAGGGTGAGAAATACCCTGGCTTCTCTCTCCCTCTCAGCCTCAATCTCCAGCCAGTAGTTCCCACTGGTTGAACTTAAGACAGTAGCCAGATGGCAAGGGGGCCAGGGCAAAGGGTATGCAGCTCTCCAGAATACACAGCAGGGCAGGGAATGTGGGGAAAAGGATCCCAGAGAAAAAGGGGAAATCACCGCACACCACCCCACTAAGTCCAACCCTAAGATGCCACTCAGGGCCTGTAGGGGGTGAAAACAGAAATGAAGGAAATTCTGTTCCTTGTCCGGTTTTTATCACCATCCCTGTCACTCTCATTCTAATAATTATTTTGTAGTAAGTTGAGGATGGAGTAGAAGCAACAGGATGGAAGAAGTAGTGGGGGCCGTTGGATAAGATGGACATGCTCAGCTCAGCAGTATCCTCCCTCTTTCTGGGAATTACTTTCCTAGAGAGAGCAAGTATTCTCAACTCCTCCTTGAATACTTAAGCTTACAGAGAGCCTCTATCCTAGGAAGAGAGAGGCCCATAGTATGTGCATGTGTGTGGTGGTAGGGAGGGTAATTTAATTCAGAGGATGTTTATATATATATATATATTTTTTTTTTGAGATGGAGTCTCCAGGCTGGAGTGCAGTGAGCTATCTCAGCTCACTGCCACCTCCACCTCCCGGGTTCAAGTGATTCTCCTGCCTCAGCCTCCCAAGTAGCTGGGATTACAGGTGCCCACCACCACACCTGGCTAAGGTGATCCACATGTCTTGGTCTCCCAAAGTACTGGGATTACAGGCATCAGCCACTTCGCCCAGCCCAAGGGGTATATTTAGAAACCCATTTTGGGCCGGGTGCGGTGGCTCACCCCTGTAATCCCAGCACTTTGGGAGGCTGAGGCGGGTGGATCACGAGGTCAAGAGATCGAGACCATCCTGGTCAACATGGTGAAACCCCGTCTCTACTAAAAATACAAAAAATCAGCTGGGCATGGTGGCGCATGCCTGTAATCCCAGCTACTCAGGAGGCTGAGGCAGGAGAATTGCCTGAACCCAGGAGGCAGAGGTTGCGGTGAGCCGAGATTGTGCCATTGCACTCCAGCCTGGGTAACAAGAGTGAAACTCCGTCTCAAAAAAAAAAAAAAAAAAAAAGAAACCCGTTTTGGTGGAATAGCTCAGCTATATCTTCCAATTCACTTTTTTTTTTTTCACCAAAAAGGCCAGCTTTTTAAATTTTTTATTTTTTGAGACAGCTGTGTCACTCAGGTTGGAGTGCAAAGGTGCGATCACAGCTCCCTGCAGCCTTGACCTCCTGGGCTCAAGCAATCCTCCTGCCTCAGCCTCCCAAATAGGTGGGACCACAGATATGTGCCACCACACCCAGCTAATTTTTAATTTTTATTTTTGTAGCGGCTGGGCACAGTGGCTCATGCCTATTATCCCAGCACTTTGGGAGGCCAAGGTGGGCGGATCACTTGAGGTCAGGATTTTGAGACCAGCTTGGCCAACATGGGAAAACCTCATCCCTACTAAAAATATAAAAATTAGCCAGGTGTGGTGGTGCATGCCTGTAATCCCAGCTACTCAGGAGGCTGAGTGAGGCAGGAGAATTGCTTGAGCCCAAGAGGCAGAGGGGGCAGTGAGCTGAGGTAGTGCCATTGCACTCCAGCCTGGGTGATAGAGTGAGACTCTCTCTTCAAATAAATAAAATAAAATAATATTTTTGTAAGAATGGGATCTCACTATGCAGCCCTGGCTTGTCTTGAACTCCTGGGCTCAAGCAATTCTCCCACCTTGGCCTCCTAAAGTGTTGGGATTACAAGCATGAGCCACCATGACTGGCATGGCATGACTTTTAAATCTCCATATATTTGACTTATGTGTCTTTCTGTCAACTGGTTTAAAACTTGGGAAGGGAAGAGGTGTTACTCTGGGAGCCCTTTATACCCCACAAAAATAGTCATCATTTAGTGAGCATCTACTATGTGCTAGGTCCTGCATCCATAAGATCTTGTTTAATCCTGAAGTTGGTATTGTTATTATACCCATAGGAACAGAAACTCTCAGACAGGCCTCGGACTGTTTTTCATTGTTCTACTCTTCAACACCCCAATGTTGCCTGGCATATTAGATGATTATTATTTGTTGGATGAACTTGTTCAATGAACATCTATTTTATAGATGTGGAGACTGAGCCTTAAAGACTCACCCAAGGTGGTAAATGGAGGAGTCGGGATTCAAACCCAGGTTAGCCTGCGTCAAATCATATGTTGCTGCCCCTCCTCCCCTTTTTCTTAGGTCCCTTTACTTCCTACCCACAGTGGTTCCAGGCACCTCTTCAGATGCCACCTCTTCTGGGCCTGCCAGTTCCCCAATGCCCAGACAGTGACTCAGGTGCCTCAAGGGCAGGGAGGGAGTGATGCTTTATACTGCCCTGCCCAACCTCTAAGATGGAAGGCATCCATGTAGAGGGGAGAGTCCCAGCTTCCAGGTCTGAATGGGAGCAGAGGCTTTTTTGGGGCCAGGTTTTGGGGCTATCAGTGCCTTTGGAAAACACCCTCCAACATCTCCTAGGAGGTGGTGAGGGCCTGGGAGAGGCCAGCAGAGGGGGTAGGGAGGGAGGTGAGATCTTCACCTTCTAAGATGGCTGGGGACCCAGAGAGGCAGCTTGTCTCCCTTCCTGTCTGCTGAACCAGCCACCCCACCCTGGGCAGCTGTATGGCATCTCCCTGAAGCCTCCCTGCTAGTAATACTCTGCTGGCAGGCCCTGGCTGGCCTGGGTTGGACTGGGTGTGGGTGTGGAGAGATGGCAATCCAGATCTCCTGGGGCAGCTGGGAGCACCACCCAGCCTGGCTCCTGGGGACTCCCTCAGCGCAGGAAATGCTTTCATCCCTGACGCTTCTAAAGCCAAGGTACAATTATGTCCTGCAAGCAGACAGAAGAGACAGGTCCCCAAACTCAGATTCCACCCAACAAATTTATTCCCTAGGCTCTGATGTGTCAGGGACACGCCTGGCTTCAAAGCTGTGTTGTCATCATTCCCTCCTTCTGGAATGCCAGCTCTCCCTGCTTGTCTCAATGTTACCATTCCTTCCAACTTAGGTCACAGCTATCCAGAACCTGCCCAGCCCCAGGGAGCTCTCTCTCTTCTGGATTCTTTCAGCACCTACCTCTGTCTCTTTCTATCCCTCATTTGGCACTTGGCATGGGCTGCCTTGT